TGAAAAAAAAAAAATCTTTTGTTTTTCTCTGCTGTGGAGAAAATTAGAAAATAAGCAACATGTATGGATAGAAGGGAGGGAAAAAAAAAAAGTAATAAAAACAGAAAAAATTTGGATAAATTTTTAATTTAAAAAAATATAGGTAAAATTTTAATTATTTTTTATTTTTTTATAATTTATATTTCTTTTATCTCTCAATTTGAAAAAAAAAGTTAAAGAAAGAAAAGTTTAAAAAGATTTATTTGTATAAAGAGATTATTATATTTATATATTAGATTTGATCATATAATTGATATTTTTTATAAAAATAATTTTTTATAAATATTTTATATAATATTACAGTTTATAAATATTTTATAATTTTTTAAGTCTTAATAATAAAATAAGTAAAATTATTGTAAGAATGAATTAAAAAACTAAATTAAACATAAAATTAATAATTAATTAATATATTTTATAGTATTAAATATTATTAATTTTGTTTAAAAAGATTTATTTATATAAAACAAGTAATATAAAGATATATTTGTCTATTATATATCATATTGTAAAAAATTATAATTGAAAAAATATTATAATAAATTATTTTTTTCATTATTTATCTAAATAAATAATGATTGTTAAAAAAAATTTTTATTAATTTTAAGGATCCAAATAAAATATATATGTATCATTTTTTAAAAATAATAATTTATTAATATCTATCTAAACATAGTATTAAAAAAATTAGAAAAAGGGATAATTAAATTGAAGGCCTTCCATCAATTACTAAAAAGAAAAGGCTTTTGAATGAGGCTCCCAATGAGTTAGGCGCTCTGGCCTTCGGGAGTTTGGATACTGGGCCCAATAAGCCCAGACAAACACTAAAATCAACTGCAAAGGATTGAAAGGATCGAACAGACCGCAACTCAGCAACCCAATGGGCCAAAAGACAGTCGTAATAAACCTCCCTTGTCCCCACCCAGTAGGAGCAGGAAAGAGATTAGGGTTCAACTAAATAGCCTTGGTTACTCGGGGAAAAGTTCTACTCAATTATCATGGAAAGTATTTTAAAAGTAAAATCTTATATATATATATATATATATAAAAGTTAAAGTCTTTGATAAAAAAAAAAGTTTAATATAGATAGTTTACATTTTTTACATGTAGATGAATTTAAAAAATTATCATGTTTTTTAATAAATGTACTAGTATGATAACCATGTTATGGGTAATTTAATTTAGTATAATTGAAATTTTGAAATATATAAATTTTGTTTAATTGTAAAAATAGTATACTAAGAAATAAATAATTAAAACGAAATCAATTTAAGAATTTATGTATAAAAAAAGTAAAATTTAATAAATAAAATTTATTGAATTGATCACAGTTTATAAATTATACGTATCACATTTTTATAAGGACAATTTCACGAGTCATAATTAAATCAAAATAGTTAATAAAGGAACATGTCCACATATTATTAAGATGATAAGATTGTGTCCTTTGTAAAACAAAAAATTAATTTATAATTTTTTATGTTTCAAAACTTCTAATACATGAGATAATGAATACTATTTGGTGTTTTATATAAAATCTATATGATTACATTAAAAAAAAAAGGCTTAAAAACACTTTTTTAATGCTTAAATATGACCATTATCAAATTCAATAAAACTAAATATTATACCAAATTAAGACAAATCTGTAAATGAATAAAAAAAATGAACAAAAAAAATTTGAACTTAAGCATTTTTTATGCAACAGCAAGAAGATGAAAGCCCTGTGACAATGCATCTAATATCAACTAAGCAGATCTTCCTATCTTTTTTTCCTTGCTTATGTTTTCTACCTACAAATTCCAAAAAAAAAAAAAAAAAAAATGAAGGGACTAAATATCAATTACTTAATGCAAAATTTTACCAAACCTATGAAACCAAAATTTCATCAATATTTCAGTCCAATCAAACATGGAACAACTACACATAATTTTTTTCGAATATTCCTAATTCTTTTTCTAAATTGGAAACTTTACCACTCACATATGTTTTGATAAAACCAATATTAACAATAGTTGAAACCAATATTGATAAAAAAATGTTTTGATAAACAAATTATTGTCAATTGTCAAAATTAGTATTTGATAAGCTATTAAGAAATAATCTAAAAATATATATAAATATATAAAAGTTAAAGTCTTTGATAAAAAAGAAAATAGTTCAATATACATAGTTTACATTTTTTACATGTAAATAGGTTTAAAAAATTACTATGTGTTTTTTTAATAAATACATTTTATTTATTTAAAACATTTTTCTTATTTTTTATAGTAATATCTTGTAATTAAAAATAATTAGTTAGACTAAATTAATTCCATTTATAACCTTTTAAATATTCAATCTTTTTATTTTATATGAATAAGTTGCAATTAATTTGATAATTAATAAAAAAACTAAAAAAAAGCTAATTTCTTATTAATATATTTTCATATCTACTAATTGCTCGTGAAAAATTAAATGAAATTTAATGTAGTGAATAAGGAAATAGAAATGAACCATTTAATGATTTGACAAAAATTATATCATTAAATTAAGGAAGATTTTGTTTTCATTTTTAAAAAATACAGCAAATTAGGTAAAAATTCAAATTTTATAATTTTGAAAGGAAAATCACATTAATTCAATGTTTTTTATTACTTATTACTTTATACAATTAATAATAGTAATTTTTTAATACATTTATCAATAATGTCTATTGATAACAATATAAATACAAATATTATTCCAAAACGAATATTAAGCAAATTGAATTTGATTATTCTTCAACTTTGTTTTGTTGCAATTTCTCTATTATTTTTTAAGAAATTTATTTTGTAGTCTTGCTTGCTATTTTTTTATAAGTTTATTGAGATTTTCTTATATTTTTTATTTTTGCAATTTGTTAGGGTTTATTTTTAAAATAGCAAATTTATCAATTATATATTTTAGTATAAATTTTTTTCTTTTATAATTTATAATTTAAAGACAAATCTCTGATATTCTATATATATGTTAAATGTGATGTTGTTAGAGAATTCTTTTCTTTTGTGAGCTAATAATTAGCAGAGGCTTAACAATTTTGTTTCATTTTAGAAAGTTCCTTAATAAGATTATGTTGATTTGCAACGTTTTACAATCAGATACCAATGATGATTAATTAATTTTGATGCTATTTACTAGGTGACTATGCATTGGTTGGGAGCCAAATCATAAGAATTTTCATGTATTGTATTATAAGTCAAGTTGACCTAAAATAATATTATTGATTATGGCCTAGTTAAATCTGTTTTGATTTCAAATGAAAATGGAAAATTTATTTTCTAAGTTTTTAGTGAATGAAGCTTTAGATGATATAAGGGATGTTAGTTTGTAATTTTTACTAATTTTATAAAAAAAAAAAATTTATCAATTTTGTGAAATTTACCACTTATTTCACTTAACAAGTTCTAAAATTTTGGATATACTAAAATTATAATTGAAACTCTTATACCTATTTTCCTATACTTTTATATATATAATTAATTTCTAATAAAAACAATAAATCATTTTAAGATGCAAAACATAAATTGTTTTTATGAATAGAAGAGAGTATATTATACTTATGATCCTTTAAACTTTGAGATACATATCATTTTGATTCTTAAATTAAAAAAAAAAATACTTAATAATCTTTAATTATAACAAATTGATCATTATATTACCCGAATTCTCAATTTTTAGTGTTAAATGTAAACGTATCTAACATATGTATAAATGGCAATGGATTTGGTGGGGCAAGTTTCACCCATTCAAGCTCCGATTTGCCTTTTAATAAACTATTAACACATGTCAAATGTTTGAAATTCATGTCAGCCGTGGATTGATAACATGTGTCATATACGTGTCAGCGAGTGTAGTTTACTCTGCAAAAGGATAGTCAAATGGCGAATTTTGAGAAAGTCCAAGCATTTGGGAAATTGGTGCAATGGATGTTGCCATTTTACTCACCCACGCGCTACATTCAATTAATTAAATCAAATGCAAGCGGACAACGCAGCCAAGGATTTTAAAAAAGGACCGAAATCCAAAGTGCTGAAAAATGTTACGAACTTCACGGAACTGAGCGGGGAGTCCTTTCGGTTCAAGTTATTTTTATTTAATGCTTAAGTGCTGGCTCACGAGTCACGACCCATGCATCCGTTTTTACGCGCCTTCTCTTTGCTTTTGAAATTACGTCAATGTCCTTTCCTTTTCTTACTCCTTCCCTTCTTTAGATGTGTGGATCAATGAGAATTTTATATTTATATTTTATTTGATTTGATGAAAATGAAGTTGACAACCTTGGTAACAAGTTGCTGATACCTTTTCAATAATTAGAAAAATTTTAAGGAAAATATTTGTTTTATTTTATTACGTAATAAAGTATTTATTTAATTTTATTTTGATGAAATAGATGACAAATACTCGAAGGAATGTTATTTTACAAATCCTAACAATGAGACTTTATTCATCCTTTTGGAAATTTATTTTTATTTTTGAGTAAAATTTAAGATTTTATTCGAAAATATATATATGAAAAAAATATTATTATTTATTAATTAAATCGTTAATTTATGTAATGCATACTTGTCACACAATTTTCATTCTCATTAAATCATAACATTTATAAAAAAAAAGGTTACATGTACATTTAATATTTTTATAATTTTATGTAATTAACATGTTAAATAATATCATCAAATATTCGAATCAATGATTGATACATATTTTTTATTAAAAAGTTAAATTTGAATTTTGTTATCATAATATAAAAAAATCAAACAATTTGAATAAAAAACAAAGTAAAATTATAAAAGGTGAAGCATAAATAAAGAATAAAACTATTATAAAAATTATATTTTTAAATTAATAAATGAAATTAAAAAATTATCATGTTTAAATTAAATATTACGAATTATTATGTATGAATATTATAATTCCAATAAATTAAATTGTGTAGTTTTTTAATTTAGTTTTTGTAAATACATATTCTAACAAAATGGAAAGAAGTTTTCTAAGAATAAATTAAAAGAGGTATCAACGTGAATAAATAAATATGGAAGGGAAGAGAATAATATGTAGTTGCCATTTTTCCTCCTAGAAAATTTATATACAGTACTAGTATAATTTCAAAGAAACCCGAACATTTGTTTATTAAAAAGGAAAAAGAAGAACAAATATATCGGGACGGAGTGGCATTTTAGTAAATTCGATTAAAATATTCCTAAATCGTATTCCTTATCGGACCGATTCGCAACGCCATCACCTCCTAACAACTCCTTCACTCGTCTGTCGTTCTGTCTTCCGCAATGTCGGCAACTGCCACCCGCATCCGCCGCCTCGCCGCCGCAGCAGTAGCAGTTACCGCATGTGGTGGCGCAATCCTCTTACCTCCCTCTGTATCTTCCAATGACCGCGGCGGTGACCCCGCCGTAGAGTCCGTGAGGCGGATGATCAATGACCAGAACGCCGTCGTTCCGTCGCGAACTGTCCAGGAATCGGCTCTGATTGGTGCGAGCTCGGCTAATACTCTCGATATCCTAGTCGTTGGCGGCGGTGCCACTGGCTGCGGCGTTGCTCTGGACGCCGCCACTAGAGGCCTCCGTGTCGGCCTTGTCGAGCGAGAGGATTTCTCGTCCGGAACGTCTTCGCGGTCCACGAAGCTAATTCATGGAGGTAATCATAAATATTCGTATATAAGTGTGTTTGTACGCGTATATTTTCTGTATTGCGAACGGTTATTTTCAGTCCTTTCTTAGAAGAACAAAATTGTGAATCAAACGATATTTCGTATTTCTGTTTTTCAAGTCTATTTTTTCATTTGTCAAAATTCCTTTTTTTCTAGTTTTCATTTTGATTAACGATTAATTTGTCCGTTTGATTTCTAGTTTCACTTTTTTTTTTACAAAAAGGAAATGTGCATTAATAATTAAATTTTAAAAAAAATGAAGAAACTTCAAGCTTGATTGCATGATCGTATTTACATTCTCTTCGCTATATGTATGATATATGTGTGTGTGTGTGTGTTATAAAATGCTGATTTCAACATTGGTTGTTGTTGAAGAGGCCAAATCCAGCATGACGAGTGCATAGGATTCGAAGTTTTGAAAAGAGAAAAGGCGAAAACTTTGGGAACTCACTCCTTGTGTAGAAGTTATTAGATATTGAATTATCTTTACCGCTTTGGTTATTGTAATGTTGTCGTTGAATAATTTTTGCTGAGGGAGCATAGAGTTTAAATACATATAGGCAGTGATTAATTCTGTTAAAAGTTTATCTTCAATATTTTGGTATCATATTCTCATTTCCCATCAAGTACCAAGTATCCTTGTATCAATTTACTAACAAACAAATTTTGTTTGGAGTTCAAAGTAGTTTTCACTCCTTGTCTTTTGATTAATGTTAAGGTTTCAAATCAAAAGTCTTCCTTCCTGTTGAATTATAATGTTGGATGGATAGAAATTGATGTCACAGTTTTGGTTGTTGCCTTTAGGATGAACAACGTTAAATTATATACAATGAAATATGTACATGAGGTCAATTCCATTTATTCTCTACAAGCTTGTTTCAGCTTTTTAATCTAATCCATTTGTTCAATTCTGCTAGGGGTCCGCTACTTGGAGAAAGCTGTCTTTAACCTTGACTATGGACAGTTGAAGCTGGTTTTCCATGCACTTGAGGAGCGTAAACAAGTTATTGAGAATGCACCTCATCTCTGCCATGCCTTGCCATGCATGACACCCTGTTTTGATTGGTTTGAGGTAGTATACTACTGGATGGGCTTGAAAATGTATGATTTGGTCGCAGGACGGCGTCTGTTACATTTGTCCAGATATTATTCTGCGCAAGAATCTGTTGAGCTCTTCCCTACTCTTGCAAGGGAGGGTAAAGATAAAAGCTTGAGGGGTACAGTTGTGTACTATGATGGACAGATGAATGACTCACGTCTGAATGTTGGATTAGCTTGCACTGCTGCACTAGCTGGGGCGGCAGTGCTTAACCATGCAGAAGTTGTATCCTTTCTTAAAGATGAAGGTACCAAGCGGATAATTGGTGCTAGAATTCGTGACAATCTGTCAGGTACAGCAGGCACATCCTTTTAACAGACATCTATTCACGTAAATGTTTAACCAATTCAAGCATATGATAATTTATGTATCTGTCTTGATTAGTCTATTTTCTGTTCTCTGCCTCATCATGAAATACCTTAAGTTTGCAGTGGAAAAAAAATGGAAAAAAAAGTCAAAGGACCACAATAAAGAAGTACTTGTTAATAACTTTGTAGGCAACTGATTGGTAAGAGCACAAAGCCATAACAATTATTGTTCTTCTCTGACTTGACTTCAGTCAAAGTAATGGATTGAGATACATTTCATTTCTATTTTTTGACATGCACTGATCACTTATGTCTTGAACATACAAATCAGCTTTGTGTCCAAGCAGTTGATTGAGGTATTCCCATTTGAATTCTGTGTAGTTGATTTGCTCTAATTAGTTATGTTTTGAGCACAGTAATCACCTTTTAAAAGGGATGCTATAGTGGAAGAAATGCCTGAGAACAGAAGTTGTCATCAAACTTAAAAGCTTTCAATCCAGATAATATAAATTAATTAATAGTCTTGTTTGTCATGGAACATGGATAAAATTAAAACCTTAAAAGATGTTAGACATTCCTTAGACAATGGTGCTCAGTGGTTGGAAATAACAAGTGTTTTTCTTCCAGTTTGGACCATTCATCATTGAATCTTTTTATTCCAAATAAGTTGATATCCTAGTTAAATATCCATGCTTATCTTATGTACTGTGAGGTTGAAGCATTGTTGAGTTATTTTTAGTACTGTTATCAAGATGAAGAATAGAGGAAATTTTGTTGTTCATAAGCAGGGAAATGGTTTTGTACACATGAGCACCAAAACATGTTTGCAACAAGACTTGTGCTGCGAAATTTTCTTCCTTCAACTTTAGTAACTAGGTAGCTTAAGTGGTCATTTGTCTGATCTTTTTTCTCATTATCATACAACCAGGCCAAGAGTTCGAAACCTATGCAAAAGTTGTTGTGAATGCGGCTGGACCATTTTGTGACTCCTTAAGGAAAATGGCTAATAAGGATGCACAACCTATGATATGTCCTAGCAGTGGTGTACATATTGTTCTCCCTGATTACTATTCTCCAGAAGGAATGGGCTTGATTGTCCCTAAAACTAAGGATGGACGCATTGTTTTCATGCTTCCATGGTTGGGGAGAACTTTAGCTGGCACTACAGATTCTAATACTTCCATCACTCCACTTCCAGAACCGCATGAGGATGAAATTCAATTTATACTTGATGCCATCTGTGATTACCTTAATGTCAAGGTATAATGTGGATTTATCAATGTTTAATATGTTGACATTGTGTTTCTACTTCATTTCTAATTCAGTCTTTTTTTTTTAATAAATGATTCAGTCTAATTTTTTGTTAAAACAATGGTGACAAACTCTAGGTACGACGCGCAGATGTTCTTTCTGCCTGGAGTGGTATTCGTCCGTTGGCAGTGGATCCTAAAGCAGAGAGCACTGAGAGCATCTCTAGAGATCATGTTGTTTCTGAGGATTATCCTGGTTTGGTCACAATCACTGGTGGAAAGTGGACTACTTATCGAAGGTAATGTTTACTGGGGTTTGCTAAAATTTTCTTTTAGAGTGGGCAGATATTCTGGGGTTTGCTAAAATATATAGTTGAGTTGCCAGTTTTTGTTGTATTGGTGGTTTACAGTAGTCCATCAAGAGCTGAATTTATCCTGATGGACTACTGTTGAACTTAAAATCAAGTGAAAATTTGGAGATTAGGTCCAGCTGATGAACTACAGAACTAGGGTGTACGTACTTTGGATTCCCTTGATTTTGGAGCATGTGATCCTGTTCTGTTGATCTCCTCTCCTTCCCTCTCTATTTTCCTTTTGGCATGAATTTTTGTGCTTACTAGAACTAGTTTCAGCATGGCAGAAGATGCAGTTAATGCAGCTATCAAGTCTGGCAATCTGAGCCCAAGAAATGAATGTATAACAAGCAACCTACAGCTGATTGGTGGAGATGGATGGGAACCTTCTTTTTTTACTGTTCTTGCTCAGCAGTATGTACGCATGAAGAAGTCATATGGTGGTAAAGTTGTTCCTGGGGTGATGGACACAGCTACTGCAAAGCATTTGTCTCATGCATATGGCACCTTAGCAGAACGAGTAGCCATCATAGCACAGGTTGGTCTGCTATGCTCTCATAACTGATAATTATTGGCCTTACTGGCTGTAGTGATGAGTTAATTTTGCATCTATCTATTGGACATCGGGCTTTGAGTTTTGACAATTTTAGCAATCATAACATATATTTATCTAATGACACCTCATTATTTAAAATTGAATTGGCATAGCCTTCAAGGATTTTCATTCTGATTTAGTGTTGCTTTGTTCCTCTAATAGTTATAAGATAACTAGAATAAACTCAGAATAATAGTCTTAGGTTTTTTTATGACATTACTTGATGAGTGAGTATATATATGCAAAATTTCTTAGAATTTGATGAGCTTCTTCTAATAATTTATTTCTTGTGATAGTGCTAGGAGTTTTGCTAATTTCTTGTCGTGGACTACTTTTATTTGTGTATTGAATATTTATGGCTTTGATATTGTAAAATATTGAGTGAGATTTATGTTCCTTGTCAGTATTAGCTGGCATGTCAAACTACTTCTTAATCATCAGGTTTCCATGCCTGTTGAAGATTTAAATGACAAGCATTGGTGCTGCTAGCGAGAGGGCAAACTATATTAGAGCACTTGTTATAGTTGTTTATTACTCTTCGTTTGTTTTTTAATTTTTCTTGCTGTAATAAATTTATATACTAATTGTTGTCCTGTTAAATAGATAAGAGCCTTACTAGCAATCAATCAAAGGTCCAATAGCCTCAGTCAGTTTTAATACAACCAGTTCTATACATGGTTTCAGTGTGAGGCTTTTGAATTTTTTTTCCACCATCTAATAGCGATCTAACGTAGAGTGATTTGGGAACATTTAGCGTAATATCATTCGAAAATTTTTCTTTTTGGTTGGTTAACAATATCAAATCTGCTTTTCAATTTTTAGAATGAAACTCTGGGTAAGAGGCTTGCTCATGGGTACCCTTATCTGGAGGCTGAGGTTGCATACTGTGCTCGAAACGAATACTGCGAATCTGCTGTTGATTTCATTGCTAGGAGATCTCGCCTTGCTTTCCTGGACACTGATGCAGCGGGCCGTGCGTTGCCACGCGTTATCCAAATACTTGCTAATGAGCACCACTGGGATAGGACAAGACAGAAGCAAGAAATGCAGAAGGCTAAAGAATTTTTGGAAACTTTCAAGTCTTCAAAGAATGCACAGTTCCATGATGGGAAGCACAATTCGTGAGTATAGTGAGTATTATTATGGCCAAGGGTAAAAAATTCACTTGAACCATAGTTCAATAATCATTTGAATCTTTAATATTTTATTATAATCAGTCAAGCTTTTATATTTTATTTTAATTCAATTGAATCCTTAAATGGATGAAATTTAGTTATGTGACAAAATTTAATTAATCAATTCTATCAATTGCATCTTTAGAGTGATCTTAAAGATAGAGGGATAGAGAAAATAGAGAAAAATTTTATCTTATTTTATTTTTATTTATATTAATTGCATCACATTTCAGATTTTTATTTATTTTATTAAAAAAATTTTTAGATTATTATACTTCTACTTATATGTATAATACATCATTTGGTAAGTACATACCTAAACTAAAGTTTCGATTTGACCACGAAAGTTTTGAGATAAAAAGTATTGAACTTGGTTTAGTTGGACAAATAACTGTACAAAATTATTATTTTCACCTTTTAAAAGATTTTTCAGTTTTTATAAAGCACCGCTTTATTGAATGTATAAAATGGTCAAAACACTTTTTTTACGTTTATTTTACTATATATAGTTTTTTGGGTACTTTCAACGAGAAAGATTTTACCAACCCTATCAAATATGAGAATTTGATATCATATTCGGTGGACACTTTCTTTAACCTTATGATATACTTGATCCATCCATAGATCACATCGAATTCTCTGATGATTTAAACAAAATCATCTTTAAATATACCAACCCAAACTTTTATCACTTCCAAACAGGAACAGACCTAATGAACGAAGCAAAATTCTTTCTCCATTTAGCCACCAAACAAGACTATCCAAAATTAGCCTGTTGGACTGATGGCAGACGCATTTTTGTTAAAAGATTCATTGAACCACATGAAGATCTTGACATCGAAAATGCACCAGAAGCAATTGAGCTTTTGGATAAATTATCTAAAATGGAAAATCTGGATCGACTGTGCCAAGTTTAGAATTTTTCTCATCAGGAAAAAATTTTTACTTTAAAAATTCAAATGAAGCAACCAGTTTTAATCCAAATCTGATTTTACCCCCATTAAATGTTTTTGAACATCAAACAGATGATGATATTGAGAGTATAACTAGTAATCAATCTTTTTGTACTCCATATCAAAGTTCTTTTTCAGGATTTCATGGTACCAACAGTACAAAAACCCTCAGACGAGCAAATAGTATGCGTCAATCAGGTACTACTGATACTGCTCAAATTCTTATTTTTATCGGAAATAATCTATCTCAGCAAGGTACAGTTGATAATCAAACCCATTATCATTCAGTTAACTCTGTGACTAACTCGCATACTTTTTCCTCTAGAAAAACTAGAAATGAAGATATTAAAATGTTTCATTCTATAAATAATTTTCGTATTTCTAATACTTACCCTTAAAAAATAATATCATTTGCCAACAAGGTACGATATTATACTTATATTGAAGGTTATTTTTATTTTCAAAACTATAAACCCTATAGTTTGAATATTTTGATTGACACAGGAGCAACAATCTCTAGTTGTCGACCTAATGCTTTGTAGTCAACCAAATGGCAACCCATGAATAGAGCTGTAAACGAGCCGAGCCGAGCCGAATAGTGAGAAGCTCGAGCTCGACTCACAATTCGGGGCTCGATACTCGGTTCGAGCTCGATCGAGTTTTATTTTTTAAGCTCGAGCTCGATTCGTGATCGAATTCGAGCTACTCGAGCTCGCTCGATTAAGCTCGATTAATATGTAAAAATAAGCTCGATTCGTATACTCGACAAGAGTTCGATTATTCATGCTCGAATTCGAACTCGAAATATTTTATTAATTAAAATAATAAAAATATATTTAAATATAAAAGCTCGATTAGGCTCGCGAGCTACTCGAGTCAAATATAAGAATACTCGAATTCGACTCGATCGATAAGTCGAGCTACTCGAGCTCGAGCTCGACTCGACAATAATCGAATCGAATTCGAGTTTTTTTTGAATTAAACCCGAGTAGCTTGCGAGTACTAATGTATCATTTACACCCTTACCCATGAAGCATCCTATAATAATAGTATGTATCGATGGTAAAGAAATCATTGTTAACCTCAAGGCAAAGAATATACCTGTTGCTTTAAACGATAAAAAATTCGTTATACCTAAAATATTATGTTTTCCTAATATGCATGGAGACATACTGTTAGAAAATAATTTTATATATAAATATTTACCCTTTTTAGTTTTTTTTTATTATCTTGTTTTTACTATTGATAAAAAATCAATAGATGTTCATTTATTATCCAAGCACAATCATGTTTATGATAATGGTTTTCGACCAGAAATAACTGTTTTAATGGATCACCGTTTTCAAAACCCTGTAAATGCTGTAATCGAAGGAATCCAATCCAATTTAGCAGCAGGAGTAGTTTTATTTAAAGTTAAACCAAACTATTTTATTTCTATTTTTGATGAAAACATTGAAAAATGTTTATGTCTTCGAATCAAAATACTCAATTTTGATTTCGAATCAACATCGCATGATCTTTCAATCAACTGGTCAGCGATTTATGAATTTACAAATACCACTAATATCTCTATCAAATCGATAAATTCTAATATTATTGAAAATTTTGAACCAAACACTTTTGATTCAGAAATTAAACCTAGATTAGTAAATCTCGTAGACTTATCAATTCCAAAAGGATGGTGTCTCGAAGATCTTTCAAGTATTTTGAAACACAGAAAGTGTCAAGTTTAGAATTTTTCTCATCAGGAAAAAATCTTTACTTTAAAAATTCAAATGAAGCAATCAGTTTTAATCCAAACCTGGTTTTACCCCCAGTAAATATTTTTGAACATCAAACAGATGATGATATTGAGAGTATAACTAGTAATCAATCTTTTTGTACTCCATATCGAAGTTCTTTTTCAGGATTTCATGGTACCAACGGTATAAAAACCCTCAGATGAGCAAATAGTATGCGTCAATCAGGTACTACTGATACTGCTCAAATTCTTATTTTTGTCGAAGATAATCTATCTCAGCAAGGTACAGTTGATAATCAAACCCATTATCATTCTGTTAACTCTATGATTAACTCACATACTTCTTCCTCTAGAAAAACTAAAAATGAAGATATTAATAGTAGGTATCGATGGTAAAGAAACCATTGTTAACCTCAAGGCAAAGAATATACCTGTTGCCTTAAACGATAAAAAATTCATTATACCTAAAATATTATGTTTTCTTAATATGCATGGAGACATACTGTTAGGAAATAATTTTATACATAAATATTTACCCTTTTCAGTTTTTTCTGATTATCTTATTTTTACTATTGATAAAAAATCAATAGATGTTGCTTTATTATCCAAGCACAATAATGTTTGTGATAATGATTTTCGACTAGAAATAACTCATATTTCTGAACTTAAAGCTATTAATGAAAAACATTAGCTTTATAGAATTTTACAGGAAAATTTCAGTGAAGACCTATTGAATTCTTGCTACTAACCCAGTAGTCAAGGATGAACCACCTTCATCCGATGAAACCACATCTGATGAAGAAGATAGTTTTGATGATCAAACAGATCCAGAACCAACAGAAATTTCAACCCTTCAACTAGAGACACGTGGGAAGAGAAAAGCTGAAGCAATATCTAACCCAGATATTGATGATCTAAGGCATTTTTCAGATTTATTAGATCCAGATATAATGGATCAACATCTTTCTCATCTTAAGGAAAAATATTCTCACCTAAACAAGAGATCAAAGATGAGATAAAACAAACTTCTGATTCTGGCCAAATAAGTCAGGTTCAGACAGAAATCCTTATAATCGATTCGTTAAACAAACGAACGGTTTCTTAAGAGGTACATATTTAGATTTAAGCAAAGTGCCTCTTCAAAACTATGGAAAAACCATAGATGATTGGGCATAATCTATGTCTATTGTTGTCACAAATTATAAGGAGACATGGGGCAAAGAAAGATTCCTCAACTATTTTTGTGACGCATGGCAAGGTGATGTCTTTCAATTTCTAAAAAAATGGGAGAAGATAACCTTCAGAGAATAGCAAAAATCCTCTCTGTTAATTATCGGTAATATCCCTCAACTTTTGAAAAATTTAACCCAAATCTTGAAAAATGAATTTTACGATAGTACAGAATCCCTGGATCCTACTCAATAAGCTTAATTTATTTTATCAAAATTAAAATTATGTTTGTTGAAAATGCTGTCCATCCAACGCTGAAAGATTTAAGGTGCGTTGCATAGATCGAAAGGCATAACAATCCATTGGTAATGGTCTACTAGTGCACTAAAAGTAGTAAGGGGTTTAGAGGTTTCATTTAGCATGATTTGCCAAAAACATGACTTACAATCAAATTTAGAAAAATATTTAGTATTTTTTTTTAAATTAATTAAAACATCTTTTCGAGGGATAAAATAGCCATCAAAAACAAGATTTTGGTTTAATTTCTTGTAATTAATAACCATACGGGGTTTACCTTGTTTAATCTCAAAATGGTTTCTTACCATGAATGCTGGACTGAAGTGTGGACTGGTAGTTGATTCTATCAGACTTTTGTCGAGCAATTCTGAAATTTGAACTTCAAATTCATCTATATCCTGTTTGGTATAGATCATTGATTTTACTCGTATAATCTCTTTTGGAGACTGAAGAGTAAATTCACAGTATCTTGGACTGCACTTCCAAAGCTTAAATGGGTCTTCACTGAAGTTTTCTTGCAAAATTCTATAAAGCCAATGTTTTTCATTAATAGCTTTAAGTTCAGAAATATGTGTTATTTCTGGTTGAAAACCATTATCACAAACATGATTATGCTTAGATAATAAAGGAACATCTATTGATTTTTTATCAATAGTAAAAACAAGATAATAAAAAAAAACTGAAAAGGGTAAATATTTATGTATAAAATTATTTCCTACCAGTATGTCTCCATGCATATTAGGAAAACATAATATTTTAGGTATAACGAATTTTTTATCGTTTAAGGTAACAGGTATATTCTTTGCCTTGAGGTTAACAATGGTTTCTTTACCATCGATATCTACTATTAATATCTTCATTTCTAGTTTTTCTAGAGGAAGAATTATGTGCGTTAATCACAGAGTTAACAGAATGATAATGGGATTGATTATCAACTGTACCTTCATGAGATGGATTATCTCCG